GTTGCAACCTGCAATGCAAAACATTTATCGATTGCCACGCTGCGAAACTATCTATCTATGCACAGTATTTCCACCACCACCAGTACCACTAACCCTACCCACCTGGTTTTTCATACCATTTCCCATTGGGCTAAAGTCTGGGGGCTTGGAGGCAGGAACTCGCACTCGTTCGGCCGCCCCACGTGTGCAGAAAAGTTTTGCCAACAGTTTTAATTTCCCATAATTACACAATTACAAAGCGCAAAGTTTTCAGCACACGCCACGCCCTACGCCTGCCGCCTACCGCCTACCGCCTCCCCGGATACGCCCCATACAATGCCAGTTGCGCGTCAGGGAAATGAGCAGTCACAAAAAAAAAAAGGGAAGAAAAACCGGAAAACTAAAAAACATCAGAAAACGGAAAACGATTTTCATTCAAATGCAAAATCGAAGCTTTAATGCCCTCGAAGGACAATCAGGATAAGTCGTTTCTTTGGCAATTAGTTGGGCCTCCAAGATTGGGGCACCCGTAGCTCTGAAACATAAATCAATCCGAAATATGGGGGTCCCATAAATCGAATCATGTTATTTACTCAGATTTAAGGACCTTCTAGCTACTTTAAAGGCCTAAGGTTATTTAATTAAAAATCCAATTGTAATTTTTACTCCAATTGTAAATTTAATACAATTACTCATTTAATAACAAATATTGAAATCTAATTAAATCTGATTTTTAATTTAATCCTTTGCTTTCATGCCTTTAAGGTATTTAAATACTGTCAGCATTGACAGGATAATACTCCGAGAGAAATCATTGTCAATATGTCCTTAATCAAAAATGAACGGTTGACATGCCGCAATCAAATTTACATTTTGTATCAGGATATATCATCCAAAGCTACTCGTCTATACGATATGGAGAAAGTTGCACTTCGGAGGTAATTAAGGATGATCACAAGGATAAAATTCCGATTGTTGCGTTGAATATTTATGGGATAAATTGCCATGATTTATGGGCAGAGGAGGCGGAGCTGAGGAGAAATTAAATTGCAAAAGTATTTATACCAATTTGGCAATAAATAGTTGGCCATGCTTTCCTAGAACTCTGGCAGGGTATAAGCGGGCCAGGACAACAAAAGGCAAAGTGAGCAAGAGAAACTTTTGTGCATTTCTCGCACACATGGCTAGTCAGGATAGGGAGGAGACACCGGCGGAACAGCGGACGGACACGTAGGCAAAAGTATTTATTGAAAACTGTTACCGTTAGCTGCCAACCTGAGCCACTGCACCACCCTATAACACTATCCACCCTATAACACTACCACCTCTCTGTCAAACACCACCCTCACACCACTTGCCACCCACTGCCGCCATTCACACTTAGTGTTCGAATCGGTGTGAGTGTGTTTGTTTGGTCGGTTGCTTATCGCTCACACACTTGCACTCAAGTGCACATGTGTGGGTGCATGTGAATGGCGATGGGCGTGGCACGGGGCGGTGGTCCGAGGGGTCAGAGCCGAAGGGACCTGATGGAGATACGCTGCCAAATGACAATGCGACAACGCTGCCCGCCAGCGAACCGACACTGGAAAATTATATCAAGGACCCGCAGTCCGCCATTAAAATCCAAAACATCAAATTTAATGGATTTGGCGCGGAATTTGGCTTTAACCTATAATTTATTTAACATTTATAGAATAGAACAGGTCATCTGAATTGAATTTAGATAAAAGGAGTTGCAACAAAACCCATTAAAACAGATGCTATTATTTAAGCCTGAATTGTAAATAGTAGTCCATTAAAGTAAAAAATTACAAAATCTACAAATCTTTTAAATAATATATATCTTGTTTATAAGTTAAACAAATAAAAAGTAGACCTTATCATATAAAAATAGAACTTGTATGTAAACTCAATTTATTTATATGCTTAATGAATTGAAAGTCCTTTCGCTCGAATTCTCTTTCAAAACAAAGCCACTATAATAATTTATTACAAATATTTACGCATAGTCCCAGACTGAAAGAAAATCAATATAAATAAATACTCCAGATATATTTATATATATTTTGAAGATATATATATATTTTTTTTTGAGAGTTTAAACTTATTTTTTGCAGTTCATCTGCGGCGGCGACTGTTGACAGTGGCTTTTGTTGGGATTTTAAAATCAATTGTAAATGCAAGTTATACGCGCATATCCTTTAAATCAGGCAGCTGTCCTGTCGCTGTCGCTTTTTCATTCCATTCCACACCACTCCGCCCTCCGGAGGACTACTCTGCACCAGCCACTGGCACTGTGCTGCTGTCAGTGTCCTCTGCCGTTGGATGCATAATCCCGGGCACTATTTAATTTCCAATTGAAAGGCCACAAATTTATGGCTCTTCTTGGAAACTTGTCCTGCTCCTTCGCCGGCCGAGGAGACAATCAAAAATTGTGCCAACGGATTACAAGTTTCTCTGTTGTCATAATTTATGCCATGCCAATAAAATAGACGCCTCGGCATTGCCCATCAATTTCTCAACTCTGCTCCGGCTCTAGACCCAAAATTTTCAATTCGATGTGCGTAGATCCTGGCCAGCTTGGAGGAGGAGTTGCCAGAGCTGGAGGACTGGAGGCATGGGCGCTGCCACCCGGAGGCAGGAACACCAGTGGCGGCAGTAAGAGATGTGGCAGGCCAACCAGGGCCACGCCACGTTAATTATGCATGGGGTTAGCTGCCAGAGCTCGGGCCAAAGTAGGCCACATGGTTACGAGGAGCTCTGAATGCTGCGCCGAACAGGGAGCTGAGGCAAGGGGCTTCAGGGGAGGATTGTCAGGGGGTGGTGGCAGAGACTGGGCATGGGTTATGTATGTGCGGCATGCAGCGAACTTTTAATCCGCTTTAACTAAAAACATTTAAATTTGCCTGGGCAGCGGTGGGAGCCAACTAGCCACCCACTACCCCACCCATTCATCCACTCAGCCATTCACCCACCGAAAAAATGGAAAATAAATAGAAGAAATATATAAAGCTTATACTCTGCTACGGGGAAAAGTTGTTGAAGCTGGATAACGATTGAAGTTGCTTCGGGGATTAATGTAGAGTGGATTAATGTAATGAAGATGTTCACATAATCCTAACCAAGCTGACAATATTTAAATTTCTCTTTAATGGAATATTTCAGATACACTTTGTGTTTAAAAGCTACAAAATTATGATCGGATTAAGGAAGGTAGCTTATGGAAGAAGGATTAAATTTTTACAGGAAAGATACAACAAGTATGATGAATATTCACTTTAAACTTCGAGTCTTGTATAAACTTAATCTATTTTAAAAGTATTCCCAACTCAACCACAACTAAGCTTCATTATATGGAATAAAATAATAAGCATTTACCTTGGCAAGAAGTCATTACAAATTAAATTTGATCTTCTTTGTCGCAAGGATTTACCTTTTCAACCACGAATCTTCAAATTGAAATTAAATCTTGAAATCGATTTTGTGGCTGCGGATGGCTGACGCATATTTGATTTGTAAACTTTTGCCAAACTATTTGACGGCTCAGTCGGACGGAAAACGAACTCAATTAAAGGATTGAATGCCAAAAGCTGAATATCTGCGTGAAATATTTAATATGGAAATACTTTTAATCCTTCGGCAAACAGGCAGCCGACGGGCGTAAGACAAATGTTTTTCTGCTGTCAATGGCAAGCACTCCAAATATTTTATTGATTTGTTAATATATATTTTGTGATTTTATTTGTTCTTTGTCTTGGATTGGGGATGTCTTGGTATGAACCCACACCACCCACATAGAAAACAGAAAACTCATCCTGTGTGCGAGTATGGAAAATTCTTGTTCGATACGGAATTTCAGCGATTTGTATTGCCTGCTGTCTCTCCTGATGTTTTTGTTTTTTTGTGGAAAATCCCAGCCCTCCCCCATTTTCAGTGCATGGGTTGTTCGGTTTCCCGCACATCCATTCCATTTTCTTAGCCTTTTCCGTGACGGCAGTGAGTGATTTTTTTCTAGATTTACCAAAAGCGTATATATTGGGGGGAGGTGTCGGTTTTTTCCCCTAATGAAGGACGCGCTTGAAAAGCCACTGGCTGTGGATGTGGATGTGGCGGTGGCTGTGGCCGGGGAAAGGGGTGAGACTTTTGTGTGCTAATCACAAGTTGCAGCTAAGCTGCTTATACAACTTGTTTCGCAGTGTAATTTGCTTTGCTTTTCCTTTTTTTTTGTGGCACACTTCCTAGAACAGCTCCCAGCCTGGAATGGTCAAAGTTGGTAGCTGGAACAGCTGCAGAGTATTTAAGAAAATTTCTTTTTCCGCCACTTTAACTTTGCCACTCCTAGTTCGACCAGGATCAGCCCCACTCCTTGTTTAGTTTGGTGGTGTCAAGCATTCTTGGACAACAGATTACAATAAACAATTTTTCATGGCATGAACAAGAGAAGTAGCAGCAACATCGACAGCAACAGCAGCATTGGCGCCGGCCAACAGCAAAAACAAAAACCAGAAGTCAGCCACAGGACAACCACAGGATCGCAGTAGCAGAGTCGGGGCAGAGCTGTTACAGCGCAGCGACCGAGGGCAAAGTAGAGACCATAACTTAAAATTTGACAAATGTATGTGACACTTACAATTAGTATAAATTGACTGGCGTGTTGAGTGGTCACACACACAGAGACAATCGACTGCGAAATAACAATGATACCATGCCACACGCACACACCTCTCTGCAGAGGTGGATCCTCCACTCACCACCACCCCCGAATGATCTGAAAAGCGCCGCCCACCACCCACCGCCCACCAATGTCATACTATGAGTTTTCGTGCTGGAAAACCGCACAATAGGACGAGTGGAGAGCGACAACAATGTCACGGCATCTGCTATTGTCAGAGCACAATACGCCGATTTGCATTACTAGTGGCGAGGGAGGTTCAATAAGTTATGAGTCAATAGAGAGATTACTTTATAAGCCATTTTAAATATATTCAGAACTTAACAATTTCCAAAAAAGACTAAAATTATTTAAAAAACAAAACAGATCCATCGATTTTAAGAACAGGAACTTTTTTAATAAACCAAGTGGTATGCAGAGCATACTGACCGTGATCCACGGGAAAAACGGCAAGGACACCATTTTCATTCGGAGTCCAGTTCCACAATTGTAGCACTGATCCGGCCTAGAAATGGAACAAATATAATATTTAAATTTATATTCTCTCATCCTCCAAACTCACCGGATACGGGCAGGTATGGTTGAAATTGGTAAATGGCTTCAAAAATGAATAAATCAGGTTGGGTATGAAAAAAGATCTGCGATTCTTAAAAAACTTGCAAACATCCATTGTTATGTCATACATGAAGGGATGCCAGCCGCCGCTTTCGCGTTTCAACATTTTAAAATTTATTTCAATCTAAAATTTTTAGATTTAAATCTAATATTTTTAAGGCTAAAATGGTTATTGGTCTTTTAGATTACCTCCGTTATGGTCTGGTTTAGAATGCCTTCAATATTCATCATGTTGTGTTTCCGATCGATGGCTTTGATTTCGCACAAGTTCATTTTGCCCCATTCGGGCGAATAAAAGAAACATTTAAGAGAGTTGAATTTGTAAGAGCCCTTGTCAATTATAAAATGTAATATTAATTTCAATCAAGTAAGATTTCAATATAAAAGGACTAACCCTGATAAAAGCCACACTGTTTAGCCACAAAAGATAGATATAAACTTTGTGTGGCCTGGCCATCTTTTGGAGCGTTACTGACTTTTAGTGTAATTTGTGAATCTGCTACATTTCCGAATCATTAGTCCAGTGACCTCATCCCTATTATTTTTTTAAAAACTCATCAGTATCATTCAGAGCGATGTCGGATCCACACATACTTTTCATTTGTCTAATTTGTTCAATCTTTTTTGGTTTTAGTCAAGTAATTGGAATATGTCTGAAAAATCAAAAAAATGACTAACATTTCAGGCTTCCTACAAATTTAACTCACTGCACTGTTCGGTGGCATCCCCTGAGGTGGGAATAATTAATCTTTGTGAAATCAAGGCTATAGATCGATATCATAACAAGATGAATATGGAACTTATTTTAAAGAAGAACTTGACAAGAGTAATACCAAATATTATATTTTATTAATCGGAAAATTAATCTGTATACTCTTTAGTTTGAAATGCGTTTCCGAATGGTGAAACGTGAAAGCGGAGGGTGGCATCCCTTCTTATACAACATGAAAGTCGACGTGTGCAAGTTTTTTCAGAACCCCAATGCCTTTTTCATTCCGAACCTAATCTATTCATTCATGAAGCCGTTCACCAATCTTAATCACACATGCCCATATTTGGTAAGCTACTTTTTTGGAACATAGCTATAATTGGTTAAGAAAAATAAAATTAATATTATTTAGGCAGGCTCTGTTCTTGGAATGTGGGACTTTACCCCGAATGAAAAAGGAGTTTACGGAGTATTCCCAGTGGATCATGGACAATACGGCCTTCACACGGATTGGTATGGTAATAATGCTCCTATGATGCAAATCAATGGATCTGTGTTGTTCTATAAGTAAATACATTTACAATGTTCACAAAGGTTAATCATAGCTGTCTATATTCGGTACCTTGGGTATATAGTTTTGGGTTAATTGACCTTGATGGCTGGAATTTTAGGCGGAATGTGCTTCGATTGTCAAACTTCACTCTGAACGAAAATTGATCGAAAATTCCCATTGCACTACGGGCCATATGGTCTTCACACTAACATTTATAGCAAGAAAGTACTTCGGATGCATATCAATTCATTTGTATTGTTTTTTAAGTAAAAATTAGGTAGATTTATCTATAATAAATCTGATTTGATGTCTGCTCAAAAGTCCATTAAAAATATGAGTAAGTTAAAAGTTAATGTACATATAATTAGGCAGAAGGTTATCAAGATCAATGGCAAAGCCACGTGTATAGGCTTATTCGTTATAAATTTTGGAACCCGATGTTGCTAATTTTGAATTTTAAATCTATGTTTAAATACTAATACTACCATCTTATTTATATTTCATTTAAAAAAACCAACAAATAAATAGTGCAAACCCATTAAAAATCTGAAAGACTCCGACGGAAAGGGGGATAATTTACTTAAAAAACAGTACAGATCCATTAATTTGTATCATTGGGAGCTTGTTTGCATACCATTTTGTATGAACGCCATACTGGCCGTGATCTACTGGGAATACCCTTATAACCCCAGTTTCATCCGGAGTCCAGTTCCACAAGCGAAGAACAGATCCAGCCTAAAGTTTAAGAAAGATTCAAAATGTAACTCTTTACTTATTGATTTGGTCCCTTACCAAATATGGACAGGTGTGATTAACGTTTGTGAAGGATTTCAAAAAAGAATATATCAAGTTGGGTATGAAAAGAGACCTGGGATTCTTGAAAAACTTGCACACATCCACCTTCATGTCGTATAGAAAGGGATGCCATCCACCACTTTCACGTTTCAGCAATTTAAAATGAATCTGAAACTAAAATATACATTAATTGTAAAATATAAAACAAGAATTATGTTAAAAATTACCTGGTTTATGGTCGTGTTCAAAAGTCCTTCAAGGTTTATCATGTTGTGATATCGATCGATGGCCTTTATTTCGCATAAGGTCATAATACCCACATCGGGAGATGCCACAGAGCATTGAAGGGCATTGAATTTGTAGGAGGCCTAGAAGTGGAGTAATGGAGTAATGCTACTTTGTTTAATTTTAGAAGCTAGAATACATGACTAAAATCACAGAACTTTAACCAAAATAGACAAACAAAAAGTGTATGTGACCCGTACATCTCCCAGCTCCAACTGAATTCTATTCCCATTGTTTATGAAAGTAAAAGTATAATTATATTTTAAATGGCTTGTCTTTTAGACATGCTACATTTATTTTGTGTCTATTTTTGTAGTTTTGTATTTATATTTTTACCATGTTGAGGCTAAAGTACAATGGAGAGGAATGTAATCTGGTTCATCTGAAATTTTTGCTAAAAATGAAAAATGCAAGGTAATCTTGAAACACCCCACTCACCTGGGCAGGTAATAATAAATTTATTTGCCAACTCTCGCTACGCGGACGGCGTTTCCATCAATTTATGCCAATTTCAGCGTGTTCGCCCGACTAAACCGTTTAAATATTGATGCAAATTAAATTCACTATTTTGGTAAACGGAGGTACAAACTTTGTAAAATGAAAAACAACAAACAATGCAACCGATGCTAAACAAAGTATAAAATAAAATGCAAAAACTCGACGGAAATTGGCCGAAATTTAGTTTGCGGTCATCCGAGCACGCATCAAGTATTCATGGGAATTCACGATCGCCCCTCGCCCACCGCCCTGCATATATGTGGATGTGGGTGGTTGGGTGGCTGTGGGTGGTGTTGTGTTGTGCGTGGGCTTCTCAGTATTTACTCCATATACAAATATATCATCCAAGTTTAAACTGCCGCAAAGGCTAAGGGCAATTGCTTTTGACAGTTATGCACAAATTTATGAGACAAAGTGCTGAGAATGGCGGATGGTGATGAGTTGGATTCTGTATACTGGGGCGGAGGCAGTGGTAACCAGAGCGTGCTTGTTTCGTGGTTTCGGTGGTGCCGGAATCTCGAAACCACCACCATCCCCAAGAACACATATGCCAGTGCCTAAACTTTAATTGAGCGAATCTGTGTGGGGTTTCTAAGAAATTCGACAAACAGCACATCACACACTCCTACGTGGACATGGCCGAGGTGAGGTATCAGAAATTACTTACAATTCAAAACAAACTTTTTCGCACAGCAACCTAAATTTGTAAGTCAACAATGGCGTGGCAAGACGGCAGTCCTGCGGCAGGACTCTAGGACGGGGCAGGGCATGAGTGGCCTAAGCGTTAGCCGAAATCCGAAAATGTCGCAGAGAAAAACCAAGTTTGCCAAATAATAGAAAAAGTAAAAAAAAAAATAAGGAAGATGTGGAAGGACTTGAGAGGCTACAGGGCAAAGGGGGAGGGGCAAGGAGCGACTGCAAAAGTGAAGAAAAATTGTAGAAAACTTTTGCTGATTTCGCCCAGTGCGCTTCATTTATTTCAACGATTTGTTGCCAGGCCAGAAGCACTGGCAGAAGCTGAGAAAACTGAACTGAAGCTGAACAAAAAAAAAAAAACCTGAAAAAGAAGCCGAGCTCCGGATTGTGTCCAAAGAGCAGCTGTTTTACTTCTTGATGGGTCCTCCCCCTTAGCCACCTTCCTGGCCCGTTTTGGCCATTACACCTCCCACCACCCTCCCTCTGACTTTATCGCTTGAGTAAGTTGCCGCTGCCTTCCGTTTTATAATATTATAACGTGCGTTGTTTGTGCTTGAACAATTTTTCGGCGTTACCTTCGCCTCTGCTCTTATTGGAAAATTGCAAGTTGTCGTCGTTGGGTCTCAACAAAAGCAACAATAGCAACAGCCTGGCTGACACAGGAAAAAAAGCATAACAATATCTGTAACATGTCCTCGGCTCAATATGGTCTAGTACACTTTTTCAGAAAATCAAAAAATAATATAATTAATGCGCCAGTCCTGTCAATATTGTTCGACATAATGGGTTATAAAAACGTTGTTTTAATTATTCATACAACATATATATTTTTTCAAGAATTTTAAATATGGAATGACCATAATTTTGAAAAGAATTCAAAACAGACTCAATATAAGCAAGAAATAAATATTAAACAGGAATATATTCATTTAAATTTTAAAAATATGGTTTGATGCTAATTGAGGTTTATTTTTGAAGTTAATTTATACTTCTGAAATGAATACTTATGGAACTTTATGAACTTTAGTATCACCCTTTCGGTATACCTCTCATTTTCTTACAAACCAAATATTTTTTGGGGGGTGTTACCCTTTTTTTCTTGGTGCAGCATCATCAGGCCCTACAACAACACACCCATAGGTGGCAGAAAAGTTTTCTCGGGAGTTTTGGGTGGCAGGTCCCGGGCTGGAGTTCAGCAGGAGCGCATAGGTAAATACCTTGCAGATTCTTATTTGAGTTGCCAGTTTGAGTTGTGTTGCTAGTCTGCGCAAGAAGTTTGAACAAACTGTTTGCCAAAGCAAGGACTCAGCCATGTATGTGTATGTGTATGTGTGTTTGACCGAGTTTGAATTCTGGGTTTCAAAAGAGCGTTAGAGGCCATTCAGAGACAGAGAGAGCTACCCTTTATCGGGGGGAACTATCTGGCAACAAAAGCCGAAATGCCGGCCATTTGTTAGTCTAACAAAAAGCTCACAATTGTTGGGTTTATCTTTGCGGCCATCGGCAGAACACTTGCTTTTTATTTCGTTCGCATTAATTGCCAACTTTAATCGCCATTCAAATGAGAGAGACCGGGACCCAGCTGCCGCTATTTTTAGTCTCCAACTTTTCCCCACAAAAAGGAAGTCAATGTTTTATCACAAAAAAAATTCGGATAAAAATTGAATTTTGTTCCACAGAATCTGATCCCAACTAAAAAAGATAAATCAGGCATGGTTGGTATGGTTTCCTAGAAATGCTTGTTGACTTTGAATCGAAACGAACCAATAGCAATAGTATATAATTTATTAATAAACCATCAGAATGATAGCCATCTGCAAAAACATTTCCTTTGAAGAGTCAAGAGAGTGATCAATAAGATTTTATCATCAAATGCGATTGCAAACTTATAAATTGCTCTGTAGAATTTGATTTTAAAGCTGTGATTAAGTTTATGTGTCTTTTGATTTCAATATCCCTATTCAAAAGGATAGTCGACCAAAAAGCGACAAAGACCAGATGTATCATGATATGTAGTATTTTCTAATAAAAGCTTGGCAAATTGCTTTCAGGTTTATTGTCTGAAGTGGTTGCAATTTTCGGTGGCCCACCACAGCAGGTCCATTTGCGGTTCGTTGACGCAGTTCGTTCACCTGGCTCACCTTCGTGCGGCAGGACACAAAACGGGTCACAAAACGGGACAAATGCATGCATAGGCTGCAGCATTTTTCGTTTACGCTGCTCCTAATTTTAAAGTATCCTTCAAGGGCTCGCTGCCCTGCTCCTGCTCCGGCATCCATTGCTTTTTGCAAATGCTGTTGCTGTTGTTGCTGATGTTGCTTTTTTTGCTCGTTATATGCGTGTGTGTGTGTGTGTGCAGTACAATGCTTGCGTGTGTGGTGTATGTTTGTGTCCTGCAAACATTTGCAAAAAGCGACACACGCTGCAAAACTGCACAATGAAGCCGCCCTGGCGCCCCCCTCCATCCACGCCCCTAATGCCCGCCGTTCTTCATATTGTTGCCGCTCCTCCTTGTTGCTTAACAAAAAGCATTAACACAATGCAGGCGCAGCATGACGGGGCCACGTTTCGGGGCCACATTCCCATCCACATCCGCATCCTTCTCGTCCATCCACCACCACCTCACATACAACCAGAGTTTCAAGTTAGGAGGAGCGAAATCAGGAGCTTTTCGGAAAGCACCAGAAAAAAAAGTGACAGCCCATTTTGAAAATTAAACAAATTTTTGTGGGGGAAAAAAGTCCATTAAATTATTATCTTAACAATAGCTCCTTCTCTTTTATTAATGCAGAAGACTCTCCGCGAACATGTTTAAAAATGTTGAAAGAGGACCTCGGTATCTTCTACTTTAATTTGTGGAAAAGATGATGGGCAACGCAATGATCCAATTCTCCAACAAAGTCGAACAATTCCTCCATGCAGGTCTCGGTGGTCTTTGATTTTGAATTTACACGGTCGTTGCAATCCTCCAACTTCTTCAACAGCGCCTTGATGTGGCCCTTCTCCTGGCACTTCTCTCTCAGCTGGGCCTGAGGATCAACCAGTTCCTCCTCCTCCTCTTCCTGCTTTTTCTTGTCCTTGTCCTTGGACTTGTCGGCAGCTTCGACTTGAGGCGTTAAAAACCAGCTTCTAAAGGCCATTTTTGAAGATGCGAATAGTTGTTTTATGTTTCACGAACGATTACAACAAGAGTCAAGAGTGTGAAGTGACAGTAAAGGATAAGGTATAGTACTTTGAATACTTATACAAATCGAAATTAAAGTGACCTCAAACACCTCTTTGTAAAAAGATAAAACCTATCGATATAATAGCTATTACTTGTTACCAAAATACTTTATTTTTCTCTCTGTGCAGGAGGAGCTGTGAAAACAAAAGAAGTGCAGCCGGCCAGGGGGATTCTCCGCGGGTCGTGTTATGTACCGACATTGTCGTACATAGAGAATACGACACTAGGAGCCCTCCGAAAAGGACCTGGTCTGGTGGGCGTCACTACGGTGGGGGTGGTCGGGGAGCGAGAGTGCAGCTGTTGCCGGCGGCGTTGCGTGGGACTTCCGCTGAAATGTAACCACACCACACAGGAGGAGGGAAGTGGGGTGCGACGAGGATTGGCGAGGGGGCTAGGGGCTCGGGGCATCCGGAGATATAAGCAGCCCCAACGGACGGACTCGGACGAATTTGCAAGTGCACCGAAAACAAAAGTGTGAAGCTCCTGGAGAGCCTAATGCCACTAAAGACTGCCATGTGACTTTAAGGACACTAGTCTGAAAGGAGCTTACTTCGAAAGTGGATTTCGCAACAATTGTGCAACGTGAAGATGCATTAAAATTGTATTAAACGCTCCAGAGCTTTGTCAGTTTTAAGCAAATACCTAGGGCTCTCGAGCATAAATCAAGTTTCCAGAAGCTACTTAATCAACTAATTGATAGAAGACACAATATTGTCGAAATAAAGTTACACATTAAGGCTAAGTTGGCTCCCTTTTTGGTGTGAATTTTACGTAAGTGATGGATATTGGTTTCATTTTCATTCAATAATTGGAGAAAGCCAATTAAAGGTTTGATATGTATATGAGCTATCCGAAAATTAAACTTCTTGCTTTGAAAATGTCTCTTATTTCTATCTTTTCAATAGATACATCATGGGTGTAATTTTATGAAATAAAAGTCTAAAACGTTTAAAATCAACTCTTTAGAAGACACAATATTGTCGAAATAAAGATGCAAATTAAGGCTAAGTTGGCTCCTTTTTGGTGTGAATTTAACGTAAGTGATGGATATTGGTTTCGTTTTCATGCAATAATTGGAGAATGCCAATTAAAGTTTTGATATGTATATGAACTGGAAGCTATCTGAAAATTATATTGGTTCCTTTGAAAATGTCTCTTAAATCTATCTTTTCAATAGATACATATTGGGTGTAATTTCATGAAATAAAAGTCTAAAACGTTCAAAATCAACTCTTTAGAATGCTAATTACCTTTAAATGACACTTAAACCCCTTGAAATCCCCTCTGGATTTTGTCTCACTGTACTTGAATGACATGCAGGAGTAGGAGTATGAGTGTGAGCTTGGGATCGGGAGATGGCGTCCTGGCAGTTGCAAAGGGTAATTGCTAAGCAATTACCTTCTTGCCAAGATTAATGGTCATGGAAGCAACTTGAAAATGCTGCCGCAATGCTAACAATGACCCCAACACATGACAGCCAGGTTCGGGCTTGGAATCCGACCGGTAGCTTCCGGTTCGTTCGGGATTTCACCTTCTCTTTTTTCATTTTTTTTGGCATATCCTTTCTACATGGTACATATACTTTTTTGAGGCATAGCCGTGGGATAAATGAGGGAGGTGTATGGCATTAATTAGATGCACAGTGGGTGTGGCAGCAGCATGTTATGCCACACACTTTGCGAAAGCGGTGCAAAAAAGTCTCAAATTATGCAAATTACTAGCTCTCCTCGCTGCTCATCGCCGGGCTTTCGTCCTTTCGGTCATCGGCGTTCAATTGGCGGGAAAAAGACAAACACAGAGGGATTTTTTTTTGTGTGGCACGCCCCAGCCAATGGATTGTTGTTTCTGTAATGGCTTTCGATTTTTTGTTGGCTCACGTCCATTTGCAGTTTTGTAATTCGCACCGGATATATGTATTTTCAGGCATGTTAAACTGCAATCCCAATCCACAACACCGCAATCACCGCCGTGGACCCACCGCGGCGAGTCGCAGCATCGGAATCGGTGGCATTACCGCACTCTCCCCCTTATCCACCCCTCTTTGGTCACCCACTGCGCTTTACATAAATTATATTTCCGCCGGAAAAATTAACATTTTTATGAATTTCCTTTCAGCAGACGCGCATTGTGGTGGCAGAAAAAAAAAAAATAAAAATAATATAGCAGCGGAGAAATGCAGTTCGGCAAAGTAGGCGGTAGCCGGGGAGGGCGTGCCGCTGCAGTAGAGTGCACATCATAAGCGGAAGAGGAAGAACCGGAGAAGAAGCAGAATCAGAGGCAGCAACACGCACACTGGCACCAAAGACTTTCTCCTGAGTTTTGCCGTTCTCGAGGCCTCCTTTCTCTCGCAAAGCAAAACAAACCTCCCATTTATATTTTTTTTTTGTGAAGAGGGGTGCTTTGGGAATGAGTTTGAGGGAATTGCAAAGGGGAAAACTGCGAACTGAAAATGAAATGTTGTTATTGAAATTGGCAAAGTTTTATGTGCACACTTTTTACATAGAAATGTGGCCATGACTTGCTGCCGCTGCTACTGCTGCCGAAAAATGTTTCGCACTACAGCCGGAGCACCCAAAAGTCGTTGCCTTTGCCTATTTATGCGCGCCGAGCTTGGAATAGAGCGATTCTGGCTCACTTTTTGCGGCTCTATCTCGGTTTTAGCTGCTTTTTCTTTTCCATTTCTTTAGGTTTTTACGTTTTTTATTCATAGATTGTTTTGGTTTCTTTTTTTTTTTGCAAGTGATATCCGCACATTTGCGCCAATGTGCCGGCGCTGCTGCGTTGGTGTAAAATGGCACAATACGCCAGCAACAACAGCAATGCCAGAATAAAGTGCCAGGAAACACATTTAATATCTACGCATAAAAATAAAAGTCTGGCAGCCGGCAATGGAAGTGACCAAAGGAGCAGCAGCAGCAGCAGCAACAACCTAACGCAACGGACAACGTCCAGTCCGGTAGGCAGCGACAACTGGACGTAGGCAGGGGGCTGGAGGCGGGAGGCAGCGTCAGGAGGAAAAGGAGAAAGGACGACGTCGTCGGTTGAAGGTCTTGTTTATTACGCTCGCATAGCCAAATGCATAAATTTACGGACCGATGCGTGCAAACTGTACAAACTTAAAAAAAAAGCGCCAGGACGATGGCTATGATGGAGGTGAAGAAGAAGCAGCCGCAGCAGAGAGCCGGAGAGCTCCGGCTGCAAATGAAAAAGCGCCGGAGAACGTCGGACGGGGGCAACGCCAACGGCGCAGCGTCGCAGCGGCAGAGCAGCAATCGGAGCAACGAGCACAAAAGCCACAACCAAAGCAACAGCAACAACAAAGGCAGCAGTAGGAGCAGGAACAGAAGCAGGAGCAGGGCCAGCGGCAGGAGCAAGAGCAGGACATGAAACAACTTCCAAGCCGAGGCTTACATGCACTGAACAAAAGAAGAGAGAAAGGTGGCTGCAAGGTGTACACACTCGAATTTAAACGATAATGGGCAACATGTTAGTACAACGTTTAGGCATAAAAATATAAAGAAACTAAATATAATTAGGAGTCTTATTGGTTTTCATGTTTTAATTAATGAAACTTTTATACATATTTTTAACTGGCGTACTAGGCGTATGAGTAATATTTTATTAATTAGCTTATCTCTGTTGGATAAATAGCTAAAATTGTAGTTAAAATTAATGTAATAATAATAATTTAGTCATTTATCTCAAAGGCACCATTATTATGTGGGCAACTTTAAGAAAGAACGTCTACAAAATGGTAAGTGCAACAGGTGTACGGGGCGTATGAGCAATTTTTTCAAAAGTTCTTTTTTGAAAATACAAAAAAATCCATTCTTGTTGTCTTATATATAAACAGATAAATATTTATTTTACTAAAAATTTTGTTATATTTAATATATGTATATATATTTTATAAAAATTTGCAGCATTAATATGATATAATAGGCGTATGCGTAATATTTGCGAATGAAGGCAATTCCATTTTTAATGATAGAGAAAATGGTACCATCATAATTAAAGCCCAATATTAAACAACAAGAAACCGCCAAGAGTTAATTTTAATTTTAAAGTAAAGTTTGTAATTGAGTAAACGCAGCCCGCAAATATTATTTTACAGGAAAAGCCAAAATACGCTGCACTTCTCACCGCAACTGTGAATATATGTATGTATGGAGGGACTTTTTGCCTGTAAGTATGCATGCTGAAAATTCAATTTTAATTTAAATGGGAAGCAAATACTGCCAAACATACGCAAATACAGTGCCCATACATGCGAATTGCATGGAAATGGAAAAAGATTAGCCGAAGGCAACTACTAACATTGTGCCAGGATATTAGCATAAACCGACTCGTATTTAATGTGTAATTCCGATAATTAAAGGGGAAATCTTTCACCATCTCCTCCTGCTGAGACGGCGTTAAGCCGAAGACAAAACACTTCCCCATTTCTGGCAGTGCATTCGGGCCAGGCCAAGCGAAAGAAATTACGCAAAAGCGAAAGAGATAAAGGGAAACGAAAGTGTGCGAAACAAGGCAAAAGGCGATCGAGGAAATGCAACAGAAATGAGAATTTATGTTTATGAAAATATTTTTACCCCAGTCAGCTCCGGCTTATGAATATGCATGTGAGGGGGGCGGGTGCAACGGGGGGCCTGTGGTGTCGGGAAGGTCCTGCCAACAGGATGTGGCAGTGGATGCGGCAGAGAGCTGAAGGTGTATATTTATTAGCAGGCTGTGCACAGGAAGCTGCTAATGTGCTTGCCGCTTTGACTGCCAGGCTGTGGGGCAATAACTGCCTAATGGTGTGTCATTTGTCTCCCAGCGAATTTGCGGGGGCTGTTTGGGGACTGAGGGGAGGGCGGAGGTTGTCCTGGGGTGCCCGAGGGGTGCTTGTCACAGGTCTCAAGTCTGTGATGTGAGAGGGGCGCCTCATCATGCAGCGGCGCCTCACAAAGCTTTATTAGGCGCTCAAGGACTAAGTATTTAA